TGGGACAAAAAGGGGGGTCATCTTGTGGTGAAGGAGTGAAAGAGTCAAGTTGTCCGGTGATCCGGAATGTTGGATTGATCCAAATCAATCCCTATTTTAAATACCGAGTATGCTGGGGTAGTACACACGCATACACATACACACACACACATACACACACCGGACGGAGGAGGAGAATTGAAGCTCCTCAAGTCCTCTCCTCCCTCCGGACCTCCGATGACCCGATCATTTGGGAGGTCTGTTTATTGCAGGAGGATGAAGAGGCCGCTCTAGTCTCGGGTCTAGCTCGCAAGCTGCTTCCTTCTCACGAGACCCTGGTGGATCAAACACACGCCGATTCCTACTCGGACGGGGAGGGCCTGTTTATGATTTATGACTGCTCATCTCGCTCATCCCCTTGGCTGTGGAGTGGTTTCGGTGGTTTTTGTTCTCCACATCTCGAGCTTTTTGAACGTGTCGCATCATCATGACAGCCTCTACCCTTTGTAACCGTAATATTACCACTTTACCAGAGCCTCCTCTCCCTCGCCCCGGTGCCATGATACCATCCGGTCCCGGGGCGCAGCTCGCTCTCTTTGCCTTTCTCTCGCATCCTCTCCAGCTTCTCTCCTTAGTGTTGTCTAGACTCTTTGTCACCAATTATAGGAGCCGGCGGAACTTGGTGTGGCCATTAGCTGTTCTCTCCCCTCCCCCCTCCCCTCTCCGCTGCAAAAGTCCTACTCCGCATTGGCGGCGGACTCCGGTCGCAATGGAGCTTCCCTTCAACCTGGTGGATACAGCTCTTTCCTCCACGCACATTGACGCCATCGACGCCCTTCGAGCCTTTTTTCTTTTGGCATCCTGCACGGTATGCACCGATATGTTGCCATTCCAAATTCGAGGCAGACGACGTTGCGAAATGACCCTGCATCAAAACTAAACCCAGAATATCCTACCTAGATCCTCTCCGTCAGCATCTTGCCAGATTCGCTTCACTCACGCTTCATTCCTTATGGCGCTCGTACAACCTCGACGGCCGACTCGCAGTCCTCGCAGTCCTCACCCCCGGCGTCCTCGGACTCCTCTCCGGCAGCCCGCGCTCTTGACCATGCTGCCGCCTTGACAGTCCCTCACAGCTACTTCACACAATTCTACATTGCCTCCGTTCTGGCTTCGGTCTTCTGGGCTGCGCAGCTTTTGTGTCAGGGTGCTGTGTTCCAGGCCTTTGCGACGAGAATCAGTCCGGAACATATGCAACAGTCCATGTCGATACAGCAAGTCTTCTTGTGCTGGGCGCTCATGCTCATCCAGGGTGCAAGGCGGCTATATGAGTGCAACGCCTTCGCCAAGCCTTCGGCCTCGAGAATGTGGTTTGTTCACTGGCTCGTAGGCCTTGCATTTTACCTAGCAGTATCCGTTGCCTTATGGATTGAAGGAGCAGGTACCACTCCGACTGACAGGCTAGTGTGCGGAACCCCACTGATCGCATCTAGGAGCCCTGCTGTCTCATAAAGTGATTCTCAACGACGTCAAGGTTACGATAGCTCCGTCTCTCCGCACCTTTGTCTGCATCCCTCTTTTCTTGATTGCATCGGGCGTCCAGCACGACTGCCACCATTATCTCTTCTCTCTGAAGAAGTATACCCTGCCCACTCACCCCATTTTCCGCGGGATTATCTGTCCGCATTATACAGCAGAGTGTGTGATATATCTCTCGCTGGCTCTGCTGGGCGCCCCCAAGGGTGAGGTCGTAAACAAGTCGCTGTTGTCCGCTCTCGTATTTGTCGTTATCAACTTGGGCGTCACCGCTGCGAACACCAGGCAGTGGTATATGCGAAAATTCGGCGTGGAGTCAGTGCGGGAGAGATGGAACATGATCCCTATGGTTTACTAATTATGTAGCATGAGACCAGCGGGGAAATTGCCCCGAGACATGAGCCCCGGATGCCTCGCGTCACCGACTGCCCAGAAACCTCATCGTATTCCCGAGACTTGCAACTTTGAGCACGTCTCGATAAGTCAAGCTTATCCTAGTCTCCCTCTCCAGGCAGCCGCACTCATACCTGTCTGGCTCCCTCAACAGATCCCAGTTGCAGATGGATTCTGCGCCCAGCCCTTCATCCCTGGAGGTTTCTGCAATCCCATGCAGAAAGTCGGTATAGATACTCTTCGTGGTAACGAGCAGGCTGCGTCTCTCCTGCAGAATCCTATACACCGGACGCCGGCCATGTCCGTTCCCATCGCCGTCCTCACTTTTCTCGTACAGATCTAGCACGATAGGAGCTCCCAGGCTCACAGTAGCTACGAGCGGGTAGTAGGCAGCACCGTCTTCATGCGGCATTATGCCCTGTCCCGGGCGGTATTCATTTACCAGAACATGATTCGGGGCGCGGTGCGGGGCGTCGGCGAAAAGGCCCAAGGAGTCGAAGCGAGGGGTGATGATGGGTGAGACGAGCCAAGAAGGCAACGGGGAGGAGATGAGCGCGTTCGATTTGGTCAGGGCCGAGGGCCAGGATTGAAGACGCCGGTGAGCTAGATGAGTCCAGCGGGGTAACGGCGCAGTCGTTATCTATAGCCGGAGTTCCAATGAGCGCCCAACCTCCCCACAGGGCCTGAATGAACTTAGGCCACTGCACAGTAAAGCCACGGTAACTCACTCACCTTCCGGAGGAGAAACTCCTCTTCATCCTCCGAGATGAACTTCGCTATGTAGAAGCCATCGTCCGGCAGTGATTTGATGCGGGCAGACTCAAGATCGGCTCTCATTTGCTGGAGTCGATCTCGGGGAGCACAGAGCAAATAGACTATCCCTGTTGTTCAATGAGGGGTCGGATGACGACTAGTAGGAGAGGATTAATCTATCAGAACGAGTCCGTTGAGTTGGTTACACGGTAAGCCGGACGATCAGACAGCGGGGAAGGTCACGAAGAAAGAAGGGGATCGTAGTGAAACTTACCGGGCGTTGAGCGTAGACCGGGAACCCAGACGGGATGAATAATTGGGGATGAATGGCTGATCTGGGAATAAAAAGTAAGTGATGATGCCGATGAATGGCATGTCGTCACAATGAGACGCAATGGCTGCCCACTTTGGCCGTGATGTGGTACGTAAGCGCGTAGCGTTTACTCCATCACAATGAATTGATGCCCAGTTACACAGTAACTGATAAGAATAGAAGTCACTTGCTCCTCACCTGACATCTGCTGACAGCTCATGACTCGACAAAAAGCTTATCCGTTAACTATACTCCGGGACTGAAGTTACTTCGAATAAACAATTATCGAGCTTCATATACATGACACTCGAGTAAATTAGCAAATCGGATGGTTCCATGAATGATGATGTGTGCCGCTACTATCCGTTTCTCAAGCTGTCTCTGGTAAATCTAATTCACTTAAGGGAGGAGATTGTGTGGTGGACGTCCATTACTAAGTACTACCTATCTCCTACTATAGTTCATCTTAGGGCTCCAATGATTAGCAAAATCCAAGCCACGATATGCTCGTCTGCAAGCTTTCAGCGAGCCATTAAATATCACCGAAGCTCAGACTATATCAGGAGGCATGGATTTAGTAGAGGAACAAAGCTATCGGTGCTCTCCGTTAGAATAGCAGAATGTGTATCATCAATCTACTATAAACCTGGCTATTTACATCCCTTTAGTCATCACAAAGTAAACCCAAGGATAATAAATCGTCTCATCGTCCACGGGATCCAGTATCAATGGGAGGTACATATTCCTCCATTCATCTTGAAACTCATTGCAGAACCACTCCGCATTCATTTGTACCTTCCGGCACTTGCAACATTCCCAGTATGCAGGATACCACCCAGACTGTGCCCAGTCAACAAGGGCAGCCACTTTGGGATCTGGACCCGGAGTTATCATGATATTAGGCGGAAGCAGGTCATTATGCGTGAACACAATGGGCGATACTATATCATCATCAATTTCGATCCCAAAAGCATCCTGGAGTTGTTTGACAGCATCTTCGCCCTGAAATGGGCCAACGAGCTCCGGACGGTCTGTAACATAGATGTCCGTCAGTGGGTTCTTGTCTAGGTTGCCTGATATCATTGATCAGCTTCATAATACCAGCCATGAGATAGTATATTAACTCACCAACATATTTATCCCGGGTATCTTGTTCCAAAGTCCGCAACAGCCCAACAAACCGATGAAGTCCCTCACAGATAGCTCGTTTCTCGTCATCACTTAAGCCACCCCATCGATCTGCTAAAGTATCACCTTCTATCAATGACATATATATGAATTTCTGTCCATTGTCTTCGGTCCAGCCAAAGATCTCGGGGATAGGGATGCGGCCCTGAAATTCCTCGCGCAGCATGATTTGCGTCTGGGCCTCGACAATGCTCACACTGAGACCATATTTGACGACTAATCCTAGTGATGGGATTATAACTGAGGGAGGATAGTTGAGGTTTGTGGCGGCAACATTGCCTGTCTTCAGGTTGAGGTCTCGTACTTCGGCTGGTGATGGAAGCGCAGGGGCCCGACCCTCCTGGAAGAAGCTGCTTTCAGGGAAGATCTTCATTGGATTATGGATGAAGCGAGAGAGATGGTGGTGAGGTTTGTTTGGCTGTGTTCTAGAAAAGGATCCACGGTGTGCGAGAAGGGCTAATATGCGTGTAAATTATCTGGGCTGAATACGGAAGGAAAGTTAAGGAGGAGAAAGAGAATAATGGTGCCCTCAGGGGCCTGCACTGATTGGAGACCTTTCTCTGTAGTGGTTTCGATCATGAGGGTTACTGTGCATCACTGAGGTCTACGCGGTCTATCATCGGTGGCTAGTTAGATACATCTAGAACAGATTACGTTATGGTCATTAAAAAATCAGATGTGAGGTGCAGGATCTAAATATAATCATACCTCCTAGATACTGATCAGAAGCCATACCCCCAACTAATCAGCTAGGCACATTGAAGTATAAGTAAGATCACCCACTCAGCGTTTACCTGCGCTCCGCAAAACATGGCGTTGTATCTGCCTCAGGCCACCACCCCACCACAAAGCATCTCGGCGGGGGAAGTCATTTGCTTCATATGCAAACAGCAACAGCAAACATCATCTTTCGTCTAACCATCACCACTGCATTCCCCTCACCCTTCTTCAGCTTTCTCTCAAGCTCCATTATATACTCAACCAGGTACACACAAAAATAATAAACCATGGCACCCAAGAACAAAGGCGGCGACAAGAAGGGCAAGGATGGCGGAGACAGCAACAGCAAAGGCGGCGGAAAGGGTCTCAAGCCTGCGAATGCTATTAACGTGAGACATATTCTTGTACGTATCTCTTCTCGCTCTTCACTTCTTTGTATTTCTCTTGTTGTGTTGGGTGGTTGTAGGTGGTCTTCTTGTCTGATGATGTGGTGGGGTGTGTTTGTGTTTCTCTATGTGAAGGGGGATATACTACATCATTACTATCCACTCATCTAGGGATGAAAAAGAGCAGATGATGATCATTTCATGTAACAACATCAATCTATCAGATATGATAACTGACAAACCTGCAGTGCGAGAAATTCTCCAAAAAGGAAGAAGCCCTAGAGAAGTTGCGCAACGGAGCCAAGTTTGACGAAGTCGCAAGGGAGTTTTCGGAGGATAAGGCTCGGCAGGGTATGTATTCCTCTATTTTTCTTCTGTTCTATACGTTATTCACTTCCCCCTCGGGGTGGCTATGTGCTGGGTGATGTCAATGCTAAGGAAAACGGTACAGGCGGTTCCCTTGGCTGGAAGACCCGGGGCAGTCTGGATGCGACGTTTGAGAAGGCGGCGTATGATCTGGAGCCGAGTACGACGGGAAACCCCAAGTACGTGGATGTGAAGACTGGGTTTGGGTACCATATTATTATGGTTGAGGGGAGGAAGTAAACTACTATCATACTACTAGTATCTGTTTTTATCTAGTCATGTTAGGGCTAGGTTAGGATTGGTATGGATATTGCATGAAGAAATGAGTTGATCAATCAATCTATGAGATCGGATCAGGTCTAATAATGAAACTATATGTACATATGCAGAGAAGTAATACAAATCTATCAGGAGGCGAGTATATATTACCGCCTACTGCTTCTTAGCTGCCTTCGCTCGCTCCTTGGCTGCCTTCTCCTGTCGTTGGACGATAGCTTCAGCGCCAATACCGCCAAAGACAAGACCCACGCCCAGCCACTGACCTGCGGAGAGGGAGTGGCCGAACCAGAACACACTCAGGAGCATGGTCAGCATCTTGCGCGTGACCGTCACCGTGACCAGCAGCAAGGAGGAGAAGCGCGACAGCGTGTAGAAGATGAACAGCTGTCCGATGGCTCCACAGGCAGCGAACCCGAGCACGTTCTTCAGGGCTTCCGGGTGACGGGAGAGGAAGCCAATGGCGGAGTTCAGCTCCGTCTCTGTGGACGGGGGAATCGGGAACGGGAGAAGGTTGTGCAGAATGCCAGTCGAGGACAGATGGGGCATGATCAACAGGTAGCTGCTCGTCAGGACGGTCGAGAGGACATTCTGGGCAACCATCATTTGCGGTCCCGTGAAGCGCGTGTACAGCTGCGGAGAGCTGAAGACGTGGTCCTGAGTGGTGTTCGTGAGGCCGTCCAGGAGCAGATTGATGGAAAGGAGGAAGATTCCCCATGTGCTTGAGCCAGACTGGCCCTTGGCAGCTGATGCGGCGACCTTCTTGCTGGTGCCGGGGTGGTGAAGGGTGAATGTAGCCACTCCGAGGGTGACCAGGAGGACGACGCCGTACTTGTACAGGGGGTATCTCTTGCGGAAGATGGTCAGGTGGAGGAACATGACGGGCAAAAGCTTGCACGATTTGGCGAGGATGAAGGTGAGGTAGTCGATATGCGCGAGACTGGCATATCCGAAGGGCGATGCGAGAGACGAGGAGATGCTGACTAGGAGCAGGGGAAAGACGATTTTCTTTGTCGGAAAGGGAGATGGGATTTTCTGGCCGGACGGAGTCGAAAAGAACAGGTACAGGAATCCGGTGATGGCGGCAAAGGTCGACTGGATCGTGTTCAGGACAATCGAATAGGTGAAGCGCTCTGTCGGTGGCTCGGGGACTTCAGCAGTCGGAGGATGAGTAGGATAGGATACGGTGGTGATGGCTTCTTGAAGCACACCCCAGGAAAGACTAAGACAGTCTCAGTCAGCATTTTAATGACTTCAGGAGTTCTCGACACCACGAGCGAGAGACATACAATGAAGCATAGATTCCAAGAACACAGATCGCAAGCTGCATCAAACCGGGGGTGTCCGGCGCATTGTCCTGCGCCGCATGCTTTCCAGAAGCACTTCCATTTGTGACGGAAGATTTCCCATTCATCTTCTTATCCAGCGACTGCGCATCATCCGGAGGCATATGCATCAGTTCAGAGGACGTGGCGCGTTGCAAAGGCGCAGCTTGTTTCTGGCGCGCCATGGTCGACGAGGAACCAAAGCAGCGCTTATACTTCGTCCAGGTTATTTGCAGAAAGATAAGAAAGAGGACGAGGGCAAGAATGTAATCAGTAGTGAATCGCCAAACACTGACAGATACAGAGAAGGTATGTGAAAATAGACAGACAGTCAAACAAAGCCTCGATGGAGCAGACAGTTGACTTTATAGTTGAGCAAAGAAAACGATGATGCCATGTGTTCTTCTGCGCGTCTCCAAAACCTGCCGCGGAATCTCGGCGCGATCGCCCTATTTTTTTCTTTCCTTCCGCCCCGCCGAGTCTCATTCTTCGGTCTCACTTGCTCGACCCTTAATTTAATTCTAGAACTTCAATCGCGAACTATAATTCCTACCAATCCCAGGTAAGTCCTACCCATCTATTCACTTCAACCATGACCACAAGCGCATACACAAACTAACCCAGTTCGAATTGCTAGACTCCATTGTAGCTACACCTCCAATTCCGCCTCAACTCTACCATCTACAACCACAACCACCGCCACCATGACTACCACAATACCACCACCACCATCCCAAGAACAACAAGCCACTTCAACAACACCAGAAATGATAGCAACAACACCCCTCCCCCCATCCGCCCTCACAACCCTCCTCTCATCCACCACAACACCACCACCGACCCCCCTCTCCGCAAACACCCTCCAAATCCTACACAACCTCCAACACCAACACCTGTGGACCTCCCTGCGCGTGCACGACCCCCACCTCCCCAGCAACTCCGAACAGCAACAACCCCTCTACCTCATCTCCGGCATTCCCCCGCACCATCTCTACATCCACCCGGACGAGCAGCTCTTCATGCTGGAGCGCGGACTGCGCGAAGACGACGTCGAGCTGGAGCGCATGTTCGTCCTGCCCACGGTTCAGGGCGAGTCATGGACGCTGCGCAAGTTGGCGGGGGTGTTTGATTCGTTGCCTGAGGGTAGCGGGGAAGGAGAAGTACTGGAAGGAGGGGGGGCAGGGGGGGAGAAGGCGGAGAAGTTGAGGGAGTATTATGAGTATCGGGAGAAGGCGAGGGCTACGAAGGAGTGGGGTGGGAAGAGGTTGTTGTTGGCTATGGTGGATAGGAGGATGGGTGGTGATGGGACGGTGGTGTATTATGTTGTGCAGGATGGTGCGGTGAAGCCGAGGCAGAATTAATCTTATGCTGATGCAGAGGAAGTGGGTATATACATGGGCTATCCGGGGGAGAAGGGAAGGGCATATGCTGCTGAGCGTACAGCAAGAAGCATCGAAGCAAGCGATTCCTTCCAATTTATCTTTACACTGAAGAAGATCGAATTATATACACGGATGACAGACAGCAACAAGAGACGAACCGGACCAAGTACCTCGCAGAGGCATTCGACGAAACGGACAGATGAGCAACTGCAGCCGGGTATCGTGGGAACAAGCAAGTAACAGGGACAGACAAAACAGCCATGCATCCTCAGCCATGTTGTGAAAAACAAACTACTCATGGCGCACCTAAGGGACGTTCATCCTCAATTTGTGCGTGTTCCGCCTGGCAGCTAGTGCAGTACGTTTCGTACCATTGCTGAACATCATCGGTGAGTTCAGCAAAGACACTCGGCCCTGAGCGGTCCACCTCGAGGTCCACGTCTTCTTCACCTTCATTCTTGCCGAGAAGAATCTGGATCTGGCGACAACGGCGCAATTCCTGTCGCAACCATCGCTCCCACTCGCTTTGGATCACTTCTCTCTCGATGCTGTTGACCACGCGGAGAGCTACCAGGAGATCGTGTCGGTATGAACCCAACCGTTCGCGCGTTTGCTGAATCCGTCGGGCTGCACTCCTGGTCATGGAGTCCCGGAACCCTGACGTTCCCAGAGAGATTGTGTTTCCTGGGCTGCGTACGGTCTGCTGGTGGAAGGTTGCGAAACAATCACTCACGTTTTCACTGCCGTGGCCAATCGTTGTATTGGCGATCGCGTCGTCGATATCTCTCATGTAAATAGCTTTGGTCATGACGTTGTCGGGGCTAACTCCGATGCGGGCCATGAAGTTCCCAACAGTCCTGTCGTGCCACCATTCATAGGCATCGCGGGACGAATAGAACCCATTGATCAACATACTCGACAACAATAAGATGAGAATGACCTTGTTTGCGTGTGTGGTCTTCCACACCCAACGTAGGAAAGCGAACGTCCACATCATCAGGTCAGAAACAATGCTCTCAGTCAAAGACACACACGTCTCAAAGAGGAGCTGTGGCAGGGACCTCTGAATGCGAGGATTGCGCAGCTTCAATTGTAGGTCGGTTTGTGGCGAGAACTGGGATGAGAAATTTTGACGTCCAATGTGTCCGAAAATCGTAATGGCCTTCTTGGTGCGACTATGCGCGCCCAACCTGCGGACCTGGTCGCCAACTAGATCGACGAGATCCAACGCGTCTTGTTCCAAATCATTGGAGGCGCTTTTATCAATAATATCTATGATACTTTAGCAAGCGCCGATGGCTCTCCTAGGGGCAAGAACTTACGCTGAAGGCCGTATGGGGACCACAGCCACTCCACTTTAGTGAAGATAGAGAGCTTGCACTTTCCCTTTGCGACAAATGTAATCACAACCTTGCTGACGAGCCGGAAGGATCTCTTGAAAGGAAGATGCCAAGGCGTCCGCTTGTCTGTAATCACATAGCAGAGATGATCATTCAGGACATCAATCATCTGATAATCCGAGATCTCCTTGGTATGGGTACGTCCTAGACCGAGTTAGTGAGAACGATACATGGCATGCTAGGATATCCAACGTACCAAGGGCATCAGCCGTCTCAATTTCATAATGGAAATCTCGTCTAAGATGGTTGGACTCCTGTCTGACCCAGGGTCCTTGTTTGATACCTGTACTCAGTTAGCAATGGCCAGCGTTAGCCCTAAGCTTGACTCACCCTTCGCTCTCCGTTGATGAAGGAGAAGCTGCCAGACGGCGCTCTTGTCTCCGAAAAGAATATGGAAGACCGCTTTAGCACTTGTATCAAAGACCTTTTCGGCTGCCAGATGAAGATCTCCTTGGGGTACATATTGAACAGGCTGCGTTGGTAGTCTGAACTTGGGAGTGTCTTTGCCATTGCCATTCTTCTTATGCATGTCCAGGTCGTTATCGATATAGACACCAACATCTTTCTTCGGAGGCTCCGTGCCACTGTCCCCTCCCTCAACATGATCGTCCCCAGCAGCTACATCCTCCCAGCTATCGAGGCTAGGAGTCCGCGTTAGTGCTTCACTCTCCATCCGGTTCAAGGTCTTGAAGGTTGCTTCCAGGCCCAGTGGCTCGGCGGCAGTCGAATTATGAATCAAAAAGTTAAGTCGCCGTTGAAGAAGTCGCAATGGCTCAAGGAATGTCTTAACAGTTCCACGACCCGGAGTATCGTCTCCTGGAGGAGGGATCATATGAAGATACAAAAAGTCACAGTCCCTTCCTGGGGCAGCAGTAACTTCTTTAATACTCTCCAATGAGATACACGTCGTGAGTACTAGACCGAAATGGTGGCTGTAGAAGTAAATGTTTTGGGTCGTAACGTAGGCCCTTCCGGGGAAATCTTGCTGATCGTTAGGATTCCAGGTAGCGCGGAACACCATAACCAGAGGT